ATCAAGTAGAACGTAAGATTTGGTATCTTGTTTACCATGGGGTCGATTTATAACTTATATTTTCTTGACTTGTGGGGGCAAGGGTAGATTAAGAACAAAATGACAGGNCCTAAGTTGAGAGATATGTTAACACACGATTACAAGGCGAATCTTTTAGGCACTAAGCTACACAATTTTCGTCAGGTCTTCTTTAGGAAATCACGCATACATGTCAGGGATTCTTGGCGTACAGAAGCCAGAATACAGTTTTGGTATCAAGTAGAACGTAAGATTTGGTATCTTGTTTACCATGGGGTCGATTTATAACTTATATTTTCTTGACTTGTGGGGGCAAGGGTAGATTAAGAACAAAATGACAGGATGTATATTGTCAAAGGAAGTACAGATAACCAACGATGTTGGTATCAACGCAGGTAGCCACTGTGGTATCAATTAAGACGTGATGATTGATTTGAGTGTGCTACTTGAAGACATGAGGATGGTTGAATGGAGCTCACGGTTTTATTGGGTACTCCTTGCAAGAAAGGACATGCAGTGTGGATAAGTTCTTACAGGAAATCCCGAGAAAATACAACTTGAAACATCAAAACTAGGACACTTAACAGTAGAGTAATGGATGATGGATAAGAACGGCAACGAGTTGCCTAATTATCCATTAGCAAGGGGGAACACAGTGACCCGTGTCCCTTGCAAAATATCATTGCTGCATTGCTGCATGCAACCGAATTCTTCTAATCTCGGACCACAAATGACGTCACATGACCAAGTGAAATTTCTTCTAAAACGTAGACCAAATGACGTCACATGACCAGGTGAAAATACAACACCTCGATGGCCTCCAAATCTGCAGTTGAGCCCATGGTCGGGAAGCCCCTTTCGCACATTCCCAGTTTGATCCCTACCGCAAGTCTCCCATTCATTGTGTTCGGAGCAGCCGGCATTCGGATCCCTGCCGTCGTACCACATAAATAGCCCCTCCGATAGGACTTGAGGCAAGGCGGGAAGGCTGTATCGGGTTTCGTGCAAAGGTGCTCTCCCATATTGACCTCGCGGCTGACACACGTCGTCTTCTCTGCTGATCGCTGTGTATCCAGGTGGGGAACTTCTACGTGTCGTATCCTTCGCCGTACTCCGTAACATGTCCACACCACTGCTCCACACGGAGAGACCAACTGCCACTCGCTGCTACTGCTGACCTTCATGACGGATGTTCTTCGACGGGATTACGACATGGTTGCGACAAGATGTCTCGGCAAACCGCTCTGAGNGTCGTCTTCTCTGCTGATCGCTGTGTATCCAGGTGGGGAACTTCTACGTGTCGTATCCTTCGCCGTACTCCGTAACATGTCCACACCACTGCTCCACACGGAGAGACCAACTGCCACTCGCTGCTACTGCTGACCTTCATGACGGATGTTCTTCGACGGGATTACGACATGGTTGCGACAAGATGTCTCGGCAAACCGCTCTGAGGAACACCAGGGAAGTTGACAACAATGGCCACATTGGATGTATACGAAGTATCACTTGAACACTTTCCGTGCTCTACTGATGATGCTGATTACCAACACCAAACATACCAGAAAACCAGCTAACACGATACAAACTGAACGCTATGCCCTACTTACCATGCACCAGGTGTACCATACTCTTCTACTGTAAGCATCACTGATACGCTGCCCCAAAGGGTCAAATAAGTTTTTCAATTTTTTATAAATTCTGAAAAAACGGCGTGAAACACCTACTGCCCGTGAAATTCAAAAATCTATAGGTTTGAAAAACGAGTGATGTACTGCTGTATAGCCTTCTTTCCATCTTCCATGATTTTCACGTCAATATTATATATTTCTCCTTAAATTCCTAAAACCAGCAAGCTGTCAATAGACACTGCGCCGTGTCCCCTGTGAAGGTTACATCTTACAGTACACGACACTACGGAGGGATTCTCCCCGATATTTTGTCGTTGGCCCAGTAGTGAACTACAGGGGATGTATTGTAAAATGTAGATTTACCTATCTATACAGATGTTTTTGTACTTAGCACCAGCTGGCATCACTGATAAATCATCAGTGTATAGACTTCTAAAGTCTCGAAGTAAGTCCAGTACCCAGCCGGTTTTCCTCCACTTACTGAAAAGACTCCACCACATCCTGTCGACTGTGGGTATATCTCGAATGGGTAGTCTTTCTGTGCGTGTATTTATTTCTCCTTAAAATGATAGAATAGAACAGGTACCGCACCGACCGTTCGAGAAAAGAGCNAGCCTTCTTTCCATCTTCCATGATTTTCACGTCAATATTATATATTTCTCCTTAAATTCCTAAAACCAGCAAGCTGTCAATAGACACTGCGCCGTGTCCCCTGTGAAGGTTACATCTTACAGTACACGACACTACCGAGGGATTCTCCCCGATATTTTGTCGTTGGCCCAGTAGTGAACTACAGGGGATGTATTGTAAAATGTAGATTTACCTATCTATACAGATGTTTTTGTACTTAGCACCAGCTGGCATCACTGATAAATCATCAGTGTATAGACTTCTAAAGTCTCGAAGTAAGTCCAGTACCCAGCCGGTTTTCCTCCACTTACTGAAAAGACTCCACCACATCCTGTCGACTGTGGGTATATCTCGAATGGGTAGTCTTTCTGTGCGTGTATTTATTTCTCCTTAAAATGATAGAATAGAACAGGTACCGCACCGACCGTTCGAGAAAAGAGCCCTCGGAAACCGATNTGTCGACTGTGGGTATATCTCGAATGGGTAGTCTTTCTGTGCGTGTATTTATNTCTCGAAGTAAGTCCAGTACCCAGCCGGTTTTCCTCCACTTACTGAAAAGACTCCACCACATCCTGTCGACTGTGGGTATATCTCGAATGGGTAGTCTTTCTGTGCGTGGAGGAAAACCGGCTGG